ATGAGTGGATGATTTTAGTGACTCATGAATGGTTATATTAAGTACCTACTGCAATGTAACAAATCACCCCAAAATGTAGTGGCTTAAAACAACAAGCAAGTATCTCACTCTTTCTGTGGGGTGGGAATTCAGGAGTGGCTTAGCTGGGTAGTTCTGGCTCAGGGCCCCGATGGGGCACCCATCAAGACAGCAGCTGGGGTTTGGGTCTCGTCTGAAGGCTTTCTGGGCTTGGAGGGCCCACTTCTGTGATGGCGCCTCACATCGTGGTTGGAGGGAGGCCTCAGTTTCTCCTCACATGGTCCTCCAGAAGGCTACTTGAATGTTCTCATGACATGGCTCTTCCTAGGGTGAGTGATCAGAGAGAGACCAAGCCTGAAACTATGGTGACCTTTGCCAGCAGGGTCTCTGATGGCCCTCATTGTCACTCCTCCTGTTCCCATTTATTAGCAGCAAGTCACTGAGAACAGCCCATGCTCAGGAGAGGCAAATTAGGGTCCACCTCTCGAAGGAAGAGCATCAAAGAATTTGTGGACAGATTTTAAAACTGGGGCAACAGGTAAAGGGATGGTGTACCCGCTATTCTTCCCTGACGCTGGGATCTTAGAATAATCTCAGCCCACGACCTGCTTCTGAAATTCACCCAGGACGTTTGTAGACACTCCCAGAGCAGGGACTCCAACCCCAGACCCTCTTACTGAGTTGCTCTGAGCAGACTTGGACATTTGTGGGTTCATTTTGTGGAATGATCTGAAACTTTAATCGTGACCTTTCTGTTTCCAGTGCATTTTGTTATTGTGGTAAAATGTGTATAACATAAAATGGACCGTTTTCGCTGTTTTCAGATGTGTGGTTCAATGGCAATGAGTATATTCACGTTGTGGTGAATCACCTCCAGAAATGGTCATTTTCCCAAATCGAAGCCCTACCCATTGAACACCAACTCCCCATTCCTCCCTCCGCCAGCCTGTAGCGAGCACCACGTTCTGCCTCTGAATTCGGGCACCCTAGACCTCATCGGAGTGGAATCCTGTGCATCTGGCTTGATTCACTTAGCACAGTGACGTCCAGGGCTCATCCACGTTGTAGGCACGTCAGAGTTTCATTCCTCCAGTGGCTGAATGACCTTCCATTGTCCGTATGGACCCCATTTTGCTTATCCATCATCCGTCAGTCGATGTTGAGGTGGTACCCACGTTGGTATCCACATTGGTATTTTTAAGGCTCCCAGGTGATTCTGATGAGCTATCAGGGACGAAAACCAAGGCCTTGGACCAGTGCTTCTCAATCCTGGCTGCACATTAGGATCACCTGGTAGCTGTTCAAACAATACCAGTGCCTGCTGAGCCTGGCCAACCCACTAGGTCAGGATCTCTGGAGGTGGACCCAGGAGTTTTTGAGACTATCCATTTATTCCCAGTAGAACGCCAGCGCGTGCGGACTCATTTCCAAGCTTCTGCTGCCATCTGGTGGCAGCACTTGGGATTTTTTTTTCTTCTCCCTCCCCAGCACACGCTTGCACGCCCCTAAGGAGCCCAGAAGGGCCAGGCCCCAGTGCCATTCCCTGGGGGTCTGCGGACCCTGTAAGGCTCTACCTGCCTCCCCTGCCCCACTATTTCCTGGCTTCCCTGTTTAGAAGAACAGGTGAGTCTATTAGGAGAAGACGCAGACAGGTGGAGGACTCCTCTTTGCTCCTTGCCGGCTGCATGACCTTGAACAAGCCATTTCACCCGCGTCGGGCGGGACGACCACAGCTGCCTCTGACAAGTCCCTGAGGTCGCAGTTAAGTCTGTGTATTAGCTCTGGGGAAGCACCTAGAATTTCTTAGCCTTGGCACTGCGGATATTTGGGTAGGATTATTCCTCATGGTGGAGTCCTCCTGTAGGGTTTTGGACAGTGTCTCCGGCCTCAACCCACGAGACACCAATGGAATCCCCCAGTTTTGACAACCAAAAACGTTTCCAGACGTGACAGATGCCCCCTGGGTGTAGGGTTGCCAGACAAAGATGCAGGTTTCCCAGTTACATTTGAATTTCAGATAAGCGACTCACAGCTTTTTAGTGTAATTGTGCCCCAAAGATTGCATTTTTATTTGCTAAATCCAGAAACCCCACACGACCACCTCAGGTGAGAGCTATTGCCCCAGGAGTGTGTGAAGCCCGCAGGAGGCTAAGCTACCAGATGGAGAAGGTGCAGCAGGAATGCGCTGGTCTGCCCCAGTCGGGGCGGGGTGCTGTCTGCGGGCAGGCCCAGCAATGGTGAGTGAGGTGGGCCTTGGGAGAAGGGTGGCCGTGGGAGACGAAGCGGGGTTCACAGTTGGGCCAAGTCCCTCTGGGGGCTCAGAGCCACTGATGTGCTGGGCGCAGGGGATACCCTGTTTTCCCAGCACCTGGGGACAGAGCAGTTTGTGGCCAACCACAAGTTGGAGCAGTTCATCCCCAACTTTTCCCCAGAGAGAACCCTCAGTAGTGTGTGTGTGGGGGGGGGTCAGGCCCAACTTGCTCATTTGCAAGAGGAAGAAACAGGCCCCGAGAGGGGCAGTGACTGGCCCCAAGTCACACAGCCAGCTTATGGCCGTGGCAAAGCTGGTGTCTGGCCCTTCAAGCCAGGACTTAGGCCCCTGGGGTGGAGCCTGGGAATGTCCTCAACCTGTGGTAAGTCCTCTAAGAGCTCCCAGCATTTTCCAGATGCAGGGGCACTGAAGGCTGGGCCACCTGCGGTCCCAGCTGCTGTCCATACTACTCCAGGAGAGTGCTGGGCCCCCTTCTGGGGCTGCCCCTGTGGGGACCGTCTCTGGTTACTGTCTGGTAGGGGGAGGCGACATGAGGAAGGGGTACAGTGTTGGACTTGGAGCCAGACTGGGGCGGAATGCAGATTCTGTCCCTCCCTAACTCTGACCTGAGGCGCCCTGTGCCTCAGCTTCTTCACCTTTACAATGGGAGTGATGAAAATGATACCTACTTTGTAGGGTTATTAGAAGGATTTGCTGAGTTAACAAGGAGGAACTTAGAACAGTATGTGGCAGATAGTAAGGCTTACTACTTATCTTACTCTCTTTCATTCTTCCGGTAACATCAACACTTCTTCTTTGGGAGCTGATTCAGTGGGGCTATCAATCACAGTCACCAGCCCTGCCCTGCCCTAAGGGGTATGTGAGTCAAGCAAAGAGCAGTCACTGCACCCTATTGCCCAGTCACTGGGTTGATCAATGAGACGACCCTGATGAAGATCTATTGAGTTCCTGGATCCAGCCTGACCTGAAGGTAGTGCCCAACAGGTGAGACAATAAATTCCCCGTTTTGCTTAAGCAAGTTTGAGAAGAGTTCTGATCCATGTACCTTTTTGCTTCACAGAGCAAGAGTGGGTCCCCCAAGGCAGCCCCCTTCTCCCATGGACCAGGCCCCTCAGCCTTGGTTTTGATCCAGCCCCACATTAGGCCAGTGACCCACTCTCAGGGAGTCAGAGGGAGGTTCTCTGTTTGAACTGTGATGGGAGCTCACAACTAGAGGAAACAAACAAGAGGGAGAAGCCCCATTACTATACGTGGCACATTGAGGTACTTTATACACCTTTTCTTTCTTTCTTTCTTTCTTAAGATTTTATTTATTTATTTGAGAGAGAGAGAGAGAAAGATAGAGAGAGCACGAGCCAGAGGCAGGCAGAGGGAGGGGAGAAACAGACTCCCCGCTGAGCAGGGAGCCCCACTCGGGACTCGATTCCCAGGACCCTGGGGATCAAGTCCCGAGTGGAAGGCAGACGCTTAACTGACTGAGCCACCCAGGCATCCCTCAAGGAGAGTTTAGATAAATGGCAGAATCCTGGTCCAGCCAGCGCAGGAACTCCCAATGCACTGTCCCTGGGAAATGATTCTGTCAACAAAGTGGGGAACACTTAGTGCAATGATGTACAATGTGCGTACGGCATTACGAAGGGCAAGGTGGGGTGCTCTGCCGGGGGGGAGGTTACCAGGATCAGGGCCACCTCTCCTGGGAGGGGATGTTTAAGCTGGCCAGCCCCTCAGAGGCCCAGAGCCCACCATTAAGCTCCCCCAACTTCTAAATTTTCATAATCAGCTGCTTCCTTTGTTCCTCTAGCCCTGGGGGGTGGTAGCTGCTCTGTCACTATTAAGCCATGATGCCTTTTTAAATGACCCTTCTTTACATTCTCTCAGTTAAAAGAACTGGGGTGCTTTCTGTCTGCTTGTAGGACTCTGAATGACACAGAGTGAACAGCTGTAAGCCATGCAAAGAGCAGAAGGTAGCAGGCCGTGAGGCTAGAGGGAGCAAGGCATGTTCCAGCAGCCAGGACCAGTGGGCCTGGAGGGGATTTATGGGGTGGCCAGTAGAATAAGGTGCAATTGGACAGGTCGGCTCTCACAGGCCATGACATGGAGTCTGCATGGGATCCTGAGAGCAACGGGAAGCCGTGGAATGTGAAGCGACGGAGTGATTTAACTTTCAACCATTGCCCTGGCTGCAGTGAGCCTAACTCCCTGGAGGGGGCAACAGTGGGTAGGGACAAGAGGGCATATTAAAAGGTGCTTCCTTCCGTTCTGCTTGGAAGGGAGTGGGTGTCTTAAGGAGGAAAAACATGGGTATGCTTCTGGCGCAACATGATGTCACAGAATAAAGGACAGAATCTCACGGTCCCTAGAAGACTCAGCTGTAAAGTGAATGCCAGGATCCTCAAGGAACCTCTACTAACCCTAAAGTGGGCCAGAGTCTCAACCGATGGCTCCCCGGGTGGTAAAGGGAGAGGGGGAAAGTGCTTTCGGGCCTCCCCTGTGTCTCCTGGCTTATAAGTGTGACACCTGTTCCCACCAGATGCTTTTGGGCCACGTGAGGGTGACAGCCCCAAGGTCCTCCTCCCGCCCTCGGGGTCCCACCCACTGCACAGAGACTGCAACACCCAGGAAGGGCCGGAAGCGGAAGTGAGCGGGCGGGTGTGGGCGCACTGTATCCTGGGAGATGTAGTCCATAGAGACCAGAAGAGTCCGTGAGAGCGATGCATTCTGGAGAAAGTAGTTTTCAAGGGATCTGAGAACGCGCGGCGGTAGCAGAGGTGATGCACCGACCCCTAACGCGGTGGCGGGGGCTTAACGATTTTTAGATTTAGAGTGAGTACGTAGGATTTGTTTCTTTCTGTCCCAACCACCCACACCTGGCGGGGGGGGGGTGCGAAGAATAAGACCTATGCACGCTTCTGTGATGGCAATGAGGCCTGAGTCGGTTATTCCTCAATCAGACAAGTAAACCGCTTATAACCTCCCTGAACCTCAGTTTCTTTATCTGTAAAATGGGCAAATTAGTCATTCTCACTTGTCAGGCTTGATAACATCCATCAATCAACTAGCAAGGTGCTTAACACACCTTTGCTTAACAAATCCTCCCTCTGAATCGGAGCTTACAGAGCATATGGATGTGTTTCGTAACCAAGAGCAAGAATTGTTCTCCAGGGGCGCCTGGGTGGCTCAGTTGGTTAAGCCTCTGACTTCAGCTCAGGTCATGATCTCAGGGTCCTGGGATCAAGCCCCAAGGCAGGCTCCCTGCTCAATCAGGAGTCTGCTTCTCCCTCTCTCTCTGCCCCTCTCCCCGCTCCTGTGCGCTCGCTTTCTCTCTCTCTCTCAAAAAAGATAAATAAAATCTTTTAAACAATTGTGCTCCTCTGGAGCACTTGGGACTTTGTCTTTGGAAAGTAGGCTTTCTTGCCAATTCCAGGAGAAAATGTAAGGAAATGTAAGGAAATCTTGTCCCCCAGAGACTTGACAAGGATGTGTGACCTTACCAGACAGGACACAGTGAGATGCAAGTTAAAAAATAAGACAGCCTGGGCACCTGGGTGGCTCAGATGGTTAAGCGTCTGCCTTCGGCTCAGGTCATGGTCCCAGGGTCCTGGGATCGAGTCCCACATCGGGCTCCTGGCTCAGCGGGGAGCCTGCTTCTCCCTCTGACCCTCTCCCCTCTCGTGCTGTTTCTCTCTCGCTCGCTCTCTAAAAAATAAATAAATAAATCTTTAAAAAAAAAAAAATAAGACAGCCTTCTGGCGAAAGCGTCTTCACATAGTACTAGTGGGAGTACTAATGAGTATATCCTCTATAAAGGGCAGTTTATGTAGGTGCAGTGATTCCACTTGTAGGAATTCATCCTACACACACTGGACAGTTTCAGAATGACAAAAGTTTCAGAATATTCACTGTAGCATTGTTTATGAAACATGATTGGAAACCACCTAGGTCTCTATGGGTAGAGGACAAGTTACATAAATTGTAATGTACTGGGATACTATGTACCATGAACAATAATGAGGTGTAACGTCACCCATGTAACATTCCGGCAAAAAAAAAAAAAAAAAAAAAAAAAGCTTAAACTAAGCATATTGTGAGGAAACTATCAGAGAAATTCAAACTGAGGGTTATTTTGCAAAACTGGCCTAGACCTTCAAAAATCTTGATGTGGTAAAAGACAAAATAGGCTGGGAGATTGAACGAGATTAAACAGACATGGCAGTTAAATGCACTGAGCACTCCTTCATTGGAACTTGGATTCTTAAAAATGACATTTTGATTAGACACCTGGGGAAATTTGATTATGGGCTATATATGAGATAGCATTGTATCAATGTTGACTTTCGTGAGTGTGATCATTGTATTGTGGTTATATGGGTGAATGTCCTTCTTAGTAGATATCTGCTGAACTAACTCTGGGCTCTTGGATAGTTTAGAAAAAAAAAAGAGAAACAGAGCAAAGGTGGCGTGTATTAATAATTGGTGAATCCGAGCTTTAAAATATGGTTGTTCATGTTCCTCTTCTTGCAACTTTTTTATAGTATTGAAACTTTCAAAGTAAAAAGTAGGCATGAGAAAAAAAAAAAAAAAAAAAACGAGGAAGCTCCATATGCACTGATGGGGGAAAACCTTCAAGAAACATTGGCAAGACTTTTTTTTTTTTTTTTTTAAAGCAAGGTGCAGAGGTGGAAATGCATGAAACACCCAGAGAGAAGACACAAGAAAGAGGTGACAAAGGCTGCCTCTGGGGCAGGGACCTGGCGGGAGGGGTCAGGAGTGGGAAAGAGACTTGCTTCTCACACTTACCCTTTTAGACCTTTTGAATTTTGTTTCCTGTCCATGTATAACCTGATCAGATAAAACATAATAACTTCGAAGAAGACTATTTCTGGGAAAGCACTTGTGGTCAGAAAACCCCAGACTGGGCTCCCCTATTCCCCAGCTGTAGACCTGTTGGGAAACCCAAAACAGAAGGTAGGAAAACCAGTTACTTTCACATCCTTTCCCACATCTGCTCCTCATCACAATCCAGTGAGTCAGTCAGGTTTTAGCAGACCCATTTTATAGATTAGGAAAACTGAGGATCAGAGAGTCTTAGCAACTTGTCTGAAGTCAGACATGTGAAATGAGACACTATTGGAGCTGAGATGGAAACTGAGACCTTCCCGGTGACCCAGCCTGGCTCCTTCCCTCCTAGAGGTGACCTCTCCAAGCTCCGAGGGTCGGATATGGCAGGGGAGGGCCCAGGGTGGGAGCGTAAGGGTGGGGTTGACTTCCAGGCTCTGGGTGCTCACTGAAGCTCAGCCCAGCTGCCTTCCTGCCCTTGCTTTTACACGGGGCTCTCCAGGCAGGAAACAGAAGTCAACGCTGGGCACCCAAAGCATGGGTTTGATTTACATGTTCATGCGCAACTGGTTTGGGGGTTTATTTGGGGGACCAAGAACTAACTCAGCCAAAGAGCCTCTTCCCTGAGCCCATCTCTGTCCTCTTAAACAAATCTTAAACAAAGCAGCCTTTTTAATTAAAAAAAAAATAAAGTAATAGAGGGATATTGTTATCAAGTCAAACAGTAAAGTATTTGGAGGGCAATTTGACATTTCTGTCAAATTTTAAAACATACATATATGTTTTGATAATGTGATCCAGCATTTACAATGGAAAATAATTTTTTTTTCTGTGAATATTCTCCCCCAAGTGTTCAGAAATACATATGGAAAAATGCACTGCTTGTAAGAGAAACAAAGACACAGAACTGTAAACAACCCAAGGACAATGACGTTTGCTGGATTTGCTGACCTAGAAAGAGATGTCCGTAGTATATTGTTAAATAAGCAAATTATTTGATTCAAATATAAAAAGAGCATTTCATTTTCATTTCTTTGAGGACTAGTGAGGTTGACTATCTTTTTCTTTCTTTTTTTTTTTTTTAAGTTGGCCAATTGTGTTTCCTCTCGTGTGAATTGCTAAAATATTACTGTCCCTCGGTCTTTTGTCACACAAAATAGTTGTAAACTTCTGGCATCATGTCTCTAAGAGTTTCTGTTTATATTTCCAATGCTTCCTTTGGGGGGTGGGGGCGGGATTTTGGAAAAGTTTGCTGAACTTGAAGCAGAGGATGGTCTCAGTCTTAATGGAGTGAGTTATCCTGTGACATGAAGGGCTCTGAGAAATAGAGGAGCCTCTCTTCCTTTCTTTCATTTCTAGGATCTTCTCATAAAGCGTCCTGTTTGGTTCTTGGTGGATAGTTTGGAAGTGGAGGTGGCTGTACCCTTTGAAAGAGGGAGGAATGGGAACCAGAGATTGGTTGCCAGGGTCTGGAGAGGGTGAGGTGAGTGAGGGGCCCTGGGGACACCCTAAAAGGAAAAGCTTCAGGAGGCACGCATTCTCAGGCTCCCACCCTAGGTGCCTCGCTCACCTCGCTCAGGTCCCAGCCCTGCTGCCTGCTTCTTGATGACGGAACAGGAGATTTGCAAACAGCCATTGTACCGTAAGCCTAGAGTGGCCTCTGATACTCAGAGCTAGACTCAAGACGGTGGTGGCAGCAGACAGATAAAATGACATCTGCATGTGGGGCAAGGCAGCAGAGTTCTGGCTCGGCTCCTGAGATGGTGTCCCGGACCCTTCATGCTGTGGTGGTGGTGGTTCCTCCTTCCCTGGAGGTGTTTGAGGGTTAGACTCTGCAATGAAGAGTGTTCAGACTGGACCTCTGGAGAGATGGGGATCAACCCATCATCAAACCCATTTTGTCCTTAAGATTTTTCTGATTCTCTCTCCATTTGTGGTAGCTGCATGGCTGGTTTTCTCTGGGTGTGCCCTGGGCCCAGCCTCCACCTGCTGCCAGCCCGCCGTGGGCCCCCGCGCCTCAGAGATGTCCCTGACATCAGAGGAGCTGCCATTTATCAAACTCGTCTACACAGCAGGCCTTGCCTTTAGTGCTCGACGTCTCATGCCTCACTGAGCTCTCACCAGTCTTCCAAGGACTTGGTTGTCTCCACATTCCCGAGGAGGACACCAGGGCCCGGAGAAGGTGAGCAACCTGACCCTGACCACAGAGCTAAGAAGTAGCAGAGGCAGGATTTGAACCTACAGCTCCCGAGGCACAATCTTCACCGCCGTGCCCCGCTCCTCCAATTTTCATGAGTGCTGGCCACTAGATTGGGGGCTCCCACTGTCCCCTGGACATCGGGGATCCCCTGGAGGCCTGGAGGCCCTCAGAATTCTAGAGTGTTTTCAGGAGGTCACTGTGGGGTTAAAGCAGGTTCTGTCTTCCCCCGACTTCCCCGGGTGGGAGGTTCCCAGAAGTACAGGCCCAGCTCAGTGGTGGCCCCTTTTCCTGCGACAGGAGGGGGTGGTAGGAGTTGGGACACGTCCTCTTTGAAGGTTCTCTCTTGCTGCTTCTGACCACTTCCTCTCTTCCCTGGGGCGGAGGCAGCTGGTTGGTACTAATGACAGCCATCTGGCAGTGGCCAAGGAAGCCTCTGAGTCTCTCCAGGAAGGGCTGGCCCGGCTGGACTTCCATCCCCTCCCTGCCCCCAGGTCCTCCCCCCCCTGCCCCCAGGTCCTCCCCCGAGTCCCCGGGAGCAGAGGGGGAGGGCGGTGAGTGGGCTCCCTGAGCTCTCCCTCCGCCGGACTGAAAACACTGCCCCTTGCACCTGCCCCCCCCTCCATTCGGGCTCCACCGGGGCTGAATCTGCTTCCAGCAACTTCCATGGAGGATGTGGCCCAAGTTCAGGACTCCTGCCCAGACAGCCAGCCCCCTTAGGATGCCCAGGGAGGTGAAGACCTTGGCCCTGGGTAGAAGCCCCAGCCTGGCCCTTGGGCACCTCAACCATGAGTGCCCCCTGTGGGCAGAGGAGCTGCGGCCTGGGAAGAAGATGGGCATTGAAACTGTGGGTGCCAGGCCTGGCTCTGCTGCTGGTCAGCTGGTGGGCTGTTGAGACCACATTTTGCTTATCCACTTAACCATCGGGGGACACTTGGCTTGCTTCCACATCCTGGCTGTTGTAATAATGCGGCTACACACATGGGTGTGCAAATATCTGTCTGAGTCCCTGCCTTCAGTTCTATGGGGTGCATACCTCGAAGTGGAGTTTCTAGATCACATGGTAATTATGTTCGACTTTTTTGAGGAACTGCCCAAAGTCTTGGGGTTACAAGTTAGGACACTGGCATTGGGGAAGCCCCTCTGGCCACACTGTGGACAGGGAGATATGAAATCAGGAGCTGGACGTTGTGGGTTCAAATCCCGGTTCTGCCACCTCCCAGGGGGGTGACCTTGGGCGAGTCACTTAGCCTCTGCGCTTCAGTGTCTCAGCTCTACTGGGGATGAGAGCAGTAGCTGCCTTGTGGGGCTGTGGTGGTATGGGGAGTATGTACTTAGAACGGTGCCTGGTACCCCGGAAGCTCTAGGACCTGTTAGCTCTGTGTTCTTCCAGGGATCTGATCCTGCGATCTCACTGCTGCCGTGGCCCCACCCCAGCCTGGTCCCTCCATGGAACATCCCTTTGGAGCTGACCCTGTTCCCACCCCAAGACTCTGACTTCTTTCCGCCCTTTCCCAGGTCCCTGGGACTCTCTCTTCAATGAAGGAGTTTCTCTTTCCCTGCCCATGGCTTAACCTCTTGAAAACACAAATCAGGAAGTAATGCCTCAGACTAACTGGGAGAACCTGAGCCTGGACCAGAGGGGAAACCAAGGGCACTGGCTAACAGGTGGGCATGGGCACGGGCGAAGAGGAGCCCTTTCTTCTTTCCTTTGACCTCGATCATGCCATTCTCCAGGGCTGAGTCCAGTCTGGGCCCTGAGTTTGGGGAGGGGTGAGGAGAGCTGGGAGGGTCCCTGAAGACGGCCCACAGGCATGATTACAGGGACGGGGAAGAGGCGCTCTGGACTGAGATGAAAGGAGCGGTGGTTTGGCACTTTGATCACGAGGAGAGTCAGCTGGAGGGTTCTGGTTAGTGAGGGGTGGCGGTGGAGATGAGATTACCCGCGTCCCTGGGCCAGCAGCCAGGACTCCATGGCTGGGGCCAGGACAGTCCCACCTCTGGTGGAGGCCCAGCTGGGGTGTGTGGGTGTGGCCTGGCCTGCTTGCCTGGTCTGGGTCCCCAGCACATCCCCACCCGGGGCGGGGGGAGCTGCTTCTGCTGGCCCTGGGTGATGCCAGGAGGAAGGTCAAGGCAAGACCTGGCGGGCGAGGACTTTGGTCCTTAGAGACCATGCCTGGAGGTTGACCCTAGTCAACTAGGTTGACTTCTAGTTTTTGCCACCTCTACCTGTGACGGGAGGGGACAGAGAAGCCTCCGGGATGCCCCACACCCCATACCCCTTCCCATTCTCTTCCTTTCCTATTTTGTCTTCTCCGTTCCTTTCCTCATGCCAGGTGGTAGGTGATTTGGAAATTCACAAAGCAGTGCACTTCTCTTCACAGTTTATCAACACCCAGAACCTGGTAAGAAGTCAGCACTCAATTTCACTGAAGTCGGCTTTAGTGAAGGACTTTCTGCATGGCCCTCTGGCAGAGCTTACTAAGGGGCCCTGCAACTCCTGATGTTTAATTGTCCTTAGCATTGTCAAATCCAGGCCTGTCTTCGATATTTGCAGACATCCCCAAAGGGGCACTAATATCTGTCCTGGGTCATTAAATAAAATATGCCATGAAGATTAAGTAGAATAACATGTAGAAAATGCCTGGCACATTATAGTCATTAAAAAAATAGTTACCATTATTTTTTGTTTTAAAAAAAGTAATGATTATATTAAAAGGGAGGACAGTGGTTTTTTGTTGTGTTCTAAAGATTTTATTTTTTTTGTTTGTTTGAGAGAGGGAGAGAGCATGAGCAGGGAGGAGGGGACAGGGAAAGGCAGAGAATCTCAAGCAGACTCCATGCTGAGTGTGGAGCCTGATGCAGGGCTCGACCTCAAAACTCTGAGACCATGACCTGAGCCCATGACTTGGGGCAAAACCAAGAGCCAGACACTTTACCAACTGAGCCACCCAGGTGCCTCAGGGAGGACAGGGTTTTTAAAAGTATTTATTGAACACCTACCATGTCCCACATAGTACAATGTTGGCATTCTGCCCTGGGAGTCAAGCTGACTCTCCCAGCCTACATCAGAAGCAGTGAGCTCCATGAAGGTCTTCGTCCCAGCAATAGCACAAAGCGAGGGAAAGGTAGAAAGGGGAAGAACCAGCTGTGTGTTCTTAGGCAAACTGCCTGGCCTCTCTGAGTCTCTGTTTCCTGATCTGTAAAGTGAGGCTGGAGATCCTCCCTTGCCCTTCTCCCGGGATCAGGGGTCAGATGAGATAAAACACGTGGGCAGCCTTGGCAAGCAGGAAAGTGCTACCCAGCGGAGCAGAGGGGTGGCTCTCAGTAGGAGACAATCCCCCGCCTATATCTTTCACTGAAGTACCTGCTCTCAGCTCCCGAAAGCCATCCCTGCAGAAGCTTGGAGAACACCCCTTGGGGACGCTAAAACTGTGCTCTTCTCCAGAGCACTATGCCATTGGGTAAAGAATGTTCTACAAAGTTCATCCAAAGCCAGTCATTCCCCTGGTGACCCCAGCTATGAGTGTAGTCATGCCCCACCCTCCTCGGTTCCATGCCCTGACTCTGGGCCAGTCGATACAGTATGTTTCCAGGGAGACCGGGGAAGGTGACGGCATTTCCTGGGAGGAAAGATGGGCTTGTCCAGGGGCACAGTGGGATTTCAGAGGTTGGTGCTAAAGCCATGTGGTGGAGCCATCACTCTGCCATCAGGATAAAGAACAGGATTGCCAAGCCCATCGGGGAGGCTGGGTGGATGGGCAGCATTTCCCTTGGAGGGCCGATTGGATGACTTGCCATTGTCCCACCTGCTCTTCAGACAGAGCTTAATGGGACAGCAGTAATTTTCTGCTGGTCTCTATTATTATTGCCAGCAGTCGTGGGGTACTGATTCTGTGCCAGGGATTTGTAAGATTACCTCCTTGAATCCTCTCAACAAATTTATAACGCAGCTACTATTATCCCCATTTTACAGGGGAAGAGGCTGTGGTACGGAGAGGTTAAGTATCTTGCTCAAGGTCACACAGTGAAAGAGCCGAGCCTGGAGCCCAGTCCAGGTCTTCCGACCCCAGAGCCTGTGCAGAGAGAGGACCGTGCCATACACCGTCACGGGCCAGGGGAGGACAAGCAGAGAGCTGAGTAGGGGAAAGAAGCGAGGTAATTTCTAGGTCCCAGGTCCCATGTGAGCCTTTTGTTTTTTGTTTTTAAAGATTTTATTTATTCATTTGACAGAGAGAGACACAGTGAGAGAGAGAACACAAGCAGGGGGAGTGGGAGGGGGAGAAGCAGGCTTCCCGCAGAGCAGGGAGCCCGATGCGGGGCTCGATCCCAGGACCCCGGGATCATGACCTGAGCCGAAGGCAGATGCTTAACAACTAAGCCACCCAGGCACCCCGAGCCTTTTGTTAATATTGGTGTTGAAGAGTCACAGACGTCACTAGAAGGGTGTCACTGGCTCTATTTTATGGAGGAAGAATGGGAGCACAGAGAGGTTGAGTTGCCCAAGCACGGGAGCTATACTTTGAACCAGATGTGTCTACACTGCAGAGTGTCGCTCTTTCAGTGACCCCACCACCTTATCTTGCTTCCTTGGCAGTTTGTTCCAAGTCTGATCTGTCTTGGGAACCCTGGGACCTGGAGCCCAGGCCTGGAACAGACATACCAGTCCTCTACACATGTTTTCTGAAGTAATATAAGAGATCCCAGTTGTTTCCACTTGCTGCTACTTTGGGCGAGGGAGAGGAAATGTGGTAGGAAGTGTAGTGACCTCGCATCTTTTGTGCATGGATGTTTGCTGGGCCTGAAACCCTGCTCAGATGGAGAGTTATGCAAAGAGAAGCATGTTGGAGTAGTTGCGTCTCCTTTACTTTTGGGTGTGTTAAAGAAAAAAGAAAGCTCTAGGAGAGACCCAAATTGAAAATTCCATCTGTCTTTCTTCCTACTTTCCTTCCTTCCTTCCATCTATCCATCTACCCACCCACCCACCCACCACCCACCCACCCACCCATCCATCCACCCATCCACCCACCCATCCACCCACCTACCCATCCATCCATCGATCGATCGATCCATCCATCCATCCTGTTATAAATCTCCCTTAGTAATCTGTTGCTCCTTGGCCCCAAAACTTCATGGTTTAAACAACAACAATTCATTATCATGGTTTCTGAGAGTAAGGAATTCAGGAAAAACTGGCTAGTTAGTGCTGGCTATTGGTGAGAGGACTCAGTCCCCCTCCACATAAGCCTTTCCAGTGGGCTGTTTGAGTGTCCTCCCAGCATGGTGGCTGGCTTCCTCCTAAGAGAGCAGCCCAAGGGACCAACGCAGAAGCTGCAATGCCTTTTACATCCTAGCCTCACACATCAGACATTGTCTCTTCCACAGAATTCTGTCAGTCAGAGTCAACCCTTGTTTAGTGTTGGAGGAGGGAACACAGGGGCATAAATCCCAGGAGATGAGCCTCATTGGGGGCCATTTTGGAGGCCGGTGACCACCATTCATCCATCCATCTAGCCATCCTTTCGTCATCTGTCCATCCATTCAATCAATAAACATTTGCTGGGATCCCGTTTGTGCCAGGCCCTGGAAACAACACACATATACCCCAAAACCAACAGAAAAGAGGAAGCCTCAGAGAAGAAAGCCATTGTTGAATATTTCCCTCCAGTTCTTTTTTTTTTTTCAACATTTTTAAACAACTTTATTGAGATACAATTCACATACTATACCATTCTCTCACTTAAAGTATACCATTCAATGGTTTTTAGTGTATTCACAGAGCTGGGAAACCATCGCCACAATCAATTTTAGAATGTTTTTATCACCTCAAACAGAAACCCCCGGCCCTTAAACATTTGTTCCCCATTTCCCCTTTTCTCCAACCACCTAAAATCACACACTTACTGTCTCTGTAGATTTGCTTTTTCTGGACGTTTCAGGTAAATGGGATCATATATTGTGTGTTCTTTTGTGACTGGCTTCTTTGCATGATGTTTTCAAGGTTCATCCACGTTGTAGTGGGTGTCAATCCATTCCTTTTTGTTGCTAAATATATTCCATTGGATGGGCAGGCCACATTTTGTTTATCCACCCATCAGAGGGTGGACATCTGCCTTGTGTTTCCACCATTTGGCTATTATGAGTAATGCTGATATTAATGTTCACATTCAAGTTTTTGTGTGGATGTGTGTCTCCAGCTGTCTTGGGTCTACACCTGGGAGTAGAATTGCTGAGTCATATCATAACCCTATGGTTAACCTTTTGAGGAACTGCCATACTGTTTTCCAAAGCAGCTGCCCCATTTTACATTCCCACCAGCAGTGTATGAAGGTTCTGATTTTCCCCTCATCCTTGTCAACACTTGTGATTGCCTTTTATTTTTTTTTAAGTAAGACCTACCCCCAATATGGGGCTCTAACTCAAGACCCTGAGATCCAGAGTTCTACCGACTGAGCCAGCCTGGCGCCCCTGTTATTGTCTTTTCTATTTTTGCCACCCTGGTGTGTGTGAAGCGGTATCTCATGTGATTTCATTTTGCATTTCCCAGATGGCTAATGATGTTGAGCATCTTTTCATGTATTTTATTGGCTGTTTGTATATCTTCTTTGGACAAAAATGTCTATTTGGATTTTTTGCCCGTTTTTAATGGTTTATGTGTCTTCTTGCATCATAAGATGCCTTTATATTCTAGATACAAGATACAAGTCTCTTATCAGATATATGATTTTCAACTATCCTGCCCCATTCTGTGGGCTTCAGTTCTTTTCCACTGTACCTTTTTTTCCCTGATTATTAAGATGTTTACTGAGGTATTCGAAAAATGCAGAAATGTGTAAAGAGGTGGAAAAATAACCACCCAGAGATCATGATTCATAATTAATCATATTTCCTTTTTTTGTCCTTTTAATCAATTCAATTACATATTTATTTTTTGACGGGTAATATTTGCACAGATAAAGAATTCTAAAATCGGCTTTGAGTATTAGGGACTAATGACTTTTTTTTTTTAAGTGAGCTTTACACCGGACATGGGACTTGAACTCATGACCCTGAGATCAAGAGTCACATGCTCCACAGACTGAGCCAGCCAGGCGCCACCAGAGTTCTAAAGGTTTAATGTTAAGTTTCCTGCCTTTGGCCCCAGCCACCCAAACTCCTTGCTAGGGATAGCCATAGACACTGTTAGCGCTTTCCTGGTGATTTTTCAGAGCTAGTTTATACACATATACATATCCACCTCAATTTCCCCTTAAATGGTAAGATAGTATCCTTTCTACTCAGCCCTTGTCAACACCTTCTTTCCAGTCTTTTAAGTCAACACAATTTTCTTTTTACCTTTAGGAATCACCCTGAAGATACAACGTATCCAGCAGTTGTAGGAGGTAGAGCGGGAAGCCTTCCAGTGTTGGCCAAAACAAGGAATTTACTGAAGGATGTTGGGTGGCTTGTATATTTTCCAGAAGGGCAGAGATCCAAGTCTGGAATCTACACCGCCTGAAGCAAAGCAAAACCCTGCACCAGATGGTCCAGTGGAGATATCACAGCTGATTCTGCTGGGCTCAGACAGCCTGTGGTCCTGCTGCTTTGGGACACCGGTGTCCACGACATGCCTTTGCCAGGTAGATGCCCTCTGCCCTCTGCTTCTCCGGTCGCCAGCTTCTGAACACAAGCCTGGTGCTGGTGCACCTGCCCGACGGGGCAGCCGGGGACTGTCTGCACCCTAGCTGCCAGGGAGCCTGGGAAAGCAAGACTGACTTCCCCTAAGGTGTAGCCTTGTAAGTGGGGAGGCCCCAGACACAGGAGGGCAGGTTTCCCTGTGCAGCCCCAAAGAATGGCATAAGACTTTGTTTAATATAAGCGTGTTTTAATTATACAATTATAATTCCTCCAATTATAAAGACGTGCCACGAGTGAGAGGTGGTATGTCGTCATCACGAAGTGTGTACTGTGCTGGGGCTGACTAGCTAGCTTCACTCTCACTTCTGTCCCTTTCCTGCCTCCTTACCTTAGGCGTGTTTGGAACTTCTGCATGCCCAGCTTCCTCTTTAATAAAATGGGGGTAATAATCAAACCTCCCTCTGAGGCTGGGCTAAGGACTGAACGATTTATCAGACTGTGAGGTTTAGGACCAGAGCATTGTATTTGCTATGTAGTTGTTTGCTCTTTTTAGTTCCCCAACATTTTATTATGAATGTTTTAGAACACACAGAAAAGTTTAACAAATTGGACAGTAAGCATCCTGCAACCTAGGATCCTCTTCTATGTTTGTTTTATCACATCTTATCAATCTGTGTTTCTTTCCAGTCATTCATACATCTTAGTTTTAATGTGTTTGAGAGTAATGGCAAATGTATATATGTGTCACTATTATCTTTTTATTCTTTATTTATTTTTAAAAATTGTCTATTTTAGAGAGAGAGCATGTGCGCATGAGTGGGGGTGGGGGTGAGGGCGGGGGAGGTGAAGAGCAGAGGGCGAGGGACAGGAAGAGGGAGAGAATCTCAAACAGCCTCCCCACCGAGTGTGGAGCCCGATGTAGTGCTCGATCTCACAACCCTGAGGTCACGACCTGAGCCAAAATCAAGAGTCGGACGCTTAACTGACTGAGCCACCCAGGCGCCCCATCTCTATTACCTTTTTAAAGCAATTCTTAACTGTTAGTTTAAATAATATGTGTGTAGAATTTGTCCTGTCCTTCCCTATAACACAATGAGCTGAGCCCTATAGGGTGAATCAGAATTTGTCAGGTAGAAGGAAGAGCAAGAGGACAGGTCAGGGGCTTCATATAGTGTCCCTCCAAATGGACATTTCAAATACTTGTTCAGATTTTAGTTAGAGGAGAGGAGGAAGAAGAGGCTGAGGGAGAGGGCAAAGAGGGAGAACTCCAGATGGCAGAGCCCTTCCTGTCTTCTGGTGCCCTGGACAATTCTGCTCTGCCCCAAACCTACAAGCCCACTTGACAAAGCAAACTCCTCGTATCAATGATCTATTGCTGTGTAATGAATTACTCCAAAACTTACTGGCCTAAAACCACAATACACATCGATTATCGAGCATGGTGTCTAAGGGTCAGGAATTAGGGAGTGGTGGGCAGTTCCGGCTCAGGGTCTCCCATACCGCTGGGGGCAGCTGCTGACTTGGGTTGTGGTCATCTCAGACTTCTTCACTCTTGTGTCTGGTACCTGCGCTGGGACCAGAGGGGGGCCTGGAGTAGCGGGGGCTCCCTGGGACTCTCTCTGTCTCTGCACAGTGCCCATGCGGTCTCTCCAACATGGTGGCTTCGGGGGCGCTGGTCTTCTTGAGTCCTCTTGGGGCTCCTAGGGCATATGTGCTGAGCCAGGCAGAAGCTGTCATGCATCATCCCTTCTGAGGCATTCTATGGAGCAATTACACAGTTACAAAGACTGGCCAGGTTCAATGGAGGAACGTCCACATCACACTGTAGAAGAGTAGATGGTATGGGCGGGTAGGGGTGTCTTTGGAAAATACAGTCTCCCACAGCTGGCTTTTGAATGGATTCCCTCTCCTCAGAAGGCCGTTTAGCCACCATCGATTATTACCCAGGGATGTGGGGTCCTGTGGGGGTCTCATCCTCACCCCTAGCAGTTACCGCTGGGTGGGCAGCCCAGTTCAGACCTGTTACCAAGGTTCAGTCACTGAAAGATGTCCCCTGTGGACACTGCTGTGTGGCTGAGGGAGGTGACACACAGGGAGAGAGCCGGCCAGGGCCAGCTTTGGTGACAGGGAGGATTCAGCAACAGATGAGTCACCAGACACAAGTATGTTTGCTTGCTCGGGCCTTTTTTATTTTTTAGTTTTTAAGTTTGAAAAATCCAGATTGCCTTTCCAGGTGTGTCCTCAGTCTCCCTGTCTCCGGAGCTGCTGTGATTCTGTCAACACGGAAACTGTTTACAGTGGCAACAGCTGTGACCTTTAGAACCGGGAGGAAAGCCGCCCTTCTGGATTCGGGCTGTTCTCTCCACACTTAGAGCCATAAACTATCATTCCCCCCAAAATATGGAGGATGTGGGGCAGGGGCATGAGAGGCAGCCACTCATAGGGGAAGGCTCTGTCCATCTCCTGCTAGAAGGGAGACCCCTGCGCCCCACTTCATGGCTTTTAGGGATTCTGCATCCACTGTGTGCCCCCCCAAAGCGATCAGGCCCCCCCCCCCCGGGGCCTTTGCACTTGCCTGAGAAGTTCCTTCTCCAGATCCTCACTTAGGGCTCCTCCTCTTCCTTAGGTCATGCTCAGATGGCATCTTCTCTGAGAGGCCCGTTGTGACTGCCTTATCTAAATTCCCTCTCACTTCCCCCATTATACCCATCTGCTCTGTCACAGCACTCACTGCCCTCTGGGATGACCTTGGTAATCTGTTTCCTTGTTTATGGTCTGTCTTCCCCATTAGAATGTAAGAGCCACAGGGATTTTTGGTCTGTCCCCAGCTCCTGTAACAGTGCCTGGCACACGGCAGGTGTTTGGTTAACATCTGAGCCGCAGAATGTCTGAGCCAAGAATGCACAACCATGGAGGAAAGAACGTCTTGGCCAGTCTTCCTGCCTTCAGCCTGGCTCCCTCAACCCACTGTCCCCAGTGGATTTTCCAAGCCAGAAATCCTCCAGATCACTCTTCTGTTCTAACACCTTCGGTGGCTCCCCATTGCCCCCAGGTAATGTCCAGATGGCTTAGTGAGGCTCGGCAGGCTGGGCATGAGTCAAGCCCGGCCTTCCTTCGGGGCATGTACACCCTTCGCTCCAGCAGAACTACACCCTGCCCAGAGCGCGTCATCCGTCATCCATCATCCGTGCTGCTCTGTCTGCCACTGGTTCTCTCTCCTCCTGTCCCCACTCAGCTGACAGCTCTCGCCTGCCACTGGCTTCAGAGAGAGACTCACTGCTTTCTGGAAGCCTTCCTGACCCTCTTCTCCCAAACCTGCATTAATGACTCCTTTTCCCTCAACACCCCCGCTGCCCTTGGTCTTCATCTGTAGTATTATAATTTTTTTTAAGTAAAATACGATTTACGCTCAGTAAAATTGACCCTTTTGGGTATATAGTATATGAGTTTTGGCAAATTCATGTAGTTGTGTAATCTCATTACAATCAAAATATAAAACAATTCCATCACCCCCCCCCATTCCTTTTGTAGTCAACCCCCCGGCCTCTGGCAACCAGTGATCTATTTTCTGCCTCTGGTTTTGCCTCTTCCAGAATGTCACATCAGTGGAATCTCACCATTGTAACGTCTTGATTCTGGTCTGTCTCACTTAGCATAATGCCTTTGAGCTTCACCCTTGGTATTGTGGCTGTTAGTTTTTTCCCTGTGATCGATGCGGGCCATTTCGGTGTGTGCACGTTTGTTTATCTTTTCACGAGTTGAAAGGCATTGGGGTCGTTTCCTATTTTCAGCAAGTATGAATAAACCTGCTGTGGACACTGGCAGACAGGCTTATGAATGGACACAGGTTTCCATTTCTCTTGGGTCCGTACCTAGATGTAGGATTGCTGGGTCCTATGATCAGTGTACGTGCGCCTTTTTAAGAAACTGCCCAACTGTTTCCTGAGGAGGCTGCACCCTTTGGGGTTCTCAGCAGCTGCTCCCCACCTTCTCTAACACTGGGCATTGTCAGTTGTCTGTAGTTTAGTTAGCCATTTTAACAGGTGTGTAACCAATTTTTTTTTTTAAGATTTTATTTATTTATTTGACAGAGAGATACACAGCGAGAGAGGGAACAGAAGCAGGGGGAGCGGGAGAGAGAGAAGCAGGCTTCCCGCCGAGCAGGGAGCCCGATGCAGGGCTCGATCCCAGGACCCTGGGATCATGACCTGAGCCGAAGGCAGACGCTTAACTGACTGAGCCACCCAGGCGCTCCTGGCCTTGATTTTCAAACAGTTTAGTTTCCTAATATAACTAAGATGTACTCAGTGAAGAATATTTAAAAAACACTGAAAGCAGAACAAGTCAGAGATGACCTGTTAATGTATCGAGCAGACTTTTAAAAATATTTATTTTTTATTGAGATATGCATAAAGTTGCACAAGTTATAAGTGTAAGGCTCATTTTCATCAAGTGACCGCCACTTGTAACTACAGATCAAAAGGGAGACTATCACAGCCCCCAAAACCCTTCCTTCTGCCCCCTCCCAGGCAAAGAGAACCACTATTCTGACTTTAAGGGCGTTGATCAACTTTGACCAACAAGCCTGGTTTATAACTAAGCTTCTCTCTCTCTCTCTGGTGCTCTTGGAAACCTCTTGTGCATCCCTCAAGACACAGTTCTGAGGTTACCTCCTCTGAGAAGTCTTCCCAGCCCTTTGGTTTATCCCTCTAACCCAACTCTTATCATTCCTTGGTAGTAAATGTCTCTTCCTGCTATCTCTCCCTTGAGTGCTGAGTGGACTGCCCTATTTACCTAATACAGGGTTAGTGGGTTGAATCATGACCCACCCAAAAGATCTAAGTCCTAACCCCCTATACCTGTGAATGCTTTTTTTTTTTTTAAGGTTAATTTATTTATCTGAGAGAGAGAAAGAAGAGGCGAAGGGACAAAGGGAGAGAGAGAGAGAATCTCAAGCAGATTCTGTGCAGAGCGCAGAGCCCCACATGGGGCTCGATCCCAC